AGAACAATTTGCCTTTAGAAGCATAATTTTTGAGTCAGATCCACAAGGCTACAGATTGTGGCTCACATGTTCTCTAGTGTGAAAGATTAGGAAAACCACTTAATCTCATTTTTTTGGTACTTTCAAAGTTATATTAGTAACATTAATCTCAAAGGGTTATTTGAGTATTTGTTGAAATACTACACATTCATAGGCAAAATATTAGAGCATGGTATGTATCCCTGCAATACATTGATATGTTCAGTATATGTTAATTGACTTGCTGTTCTACCCCCAGGAAAGTCAAATAAGAGAGAAAAGATAAATTCCAAAAGTGTTTCCTTCTGTGCTTTTTTCCCTTCATAATTTCTCCTTTTCATTTAGCTAGCTTCTTTTTCTGGACTCAGACATCTCTTCCTTTAAGAAATCCCTCCTTTAGGCTGAAATTCATATTCTTTCTGTAGGTTTTTGTAACCTCCATGTTTCACTAAACTGTCTTGTAATAACCTGTTTCCTTTTCTGAGCCACACAATACACTGAAAGTTCTTCGAGAACAGGAAATGTTTCTAACATGACTATGTCTTAATACCTAACATAAAGACAGACTCTCGATAAACATTGGAGATGTTCACTGACCAACTGACTGACAGAACAAAGCTATCTAAGAAGACAAAGAGGTAAATGTCAAAAATAATCCCATTATGTCAGCAAATACAGTAGTCCCATATCAACAATGCTTAACTCTTTCTAACTTACTTGACAGGTGGTGGTTCTAATATCAATTACAACACATTATATCTTTGGATTTTTGTCAGGTACTGCTAACTTTATAAACTAGAGATGTTTTTTTAATGTCTATACTTAACTGGAACCAGTGGGAGTAAGCCATACAGGTGCATTTCTAATAAGTTGAGTTCTAATTGAAATTATAATGGTTCCCAAGCACATTACTAGAGGACTTCAAAACTCTCAATGAGAGGATGAGCAGATTGTTATTTAATTTGACTATCTTGTTCTTAGACACAGATTGAGTTGGTTCTAATGGGCACTTTTGCCCTAAGGTTATTATCATTTAATTACAAATAACCTCAGATATTGTTGACCTCACACTTAACACCTTGGTTTAAATGCAAACTGCTATGCTTATTTATTTGTTTTCACTTACCTAGAAAAACTTGCCTCAGAATAGTGTGAAATGTAGCTATATTTGTTCCTGAACAACTTGCTTAAAAAATATTTAATTTCAGTTTTGCCATTATTTATCTCTGTCTCTCCTTCCTGGGCTGCTGCTGTTAAAATTAATTTGCATTTCAGACTTCAGGATTTTATATTGCTATTAGAGTTGTAAAATGTTTTTACTCAGCACAACTAAGAACTGATGTTTTACCTCCCACTAATGGACCTTTAATTAGGCACTGTAATGAACCATTCTGTCATTCCTTCATTTATAGAGAAAAGATTTTGTATATGCTAGATACAATTTTGACAGAACATCAGGTTCATTGAACCTTGCCGACTCACATCTAATAGATCCTAAATTTATTACTCTGTTGGATTTGTCATTTTAATGACACTGTCCACAGACTTATTATGCTGCCAAAGAAGAGCATCTCACATACTTGCAGGAATATTTGTTGACATCCTGATCAACAACTCCTGGGGTCTCATTCTGAATATAATATTACAACTTCAGAACCTTGAGCAAGTTATTTAACCTCTGCTAAGAATTAATTGGTTAATTTTAATAAATGCTTTGCATTCAAAGTGGGAAGTGCTCTGACTGCTAATAGTGATAATAAAATTATAATGCAGTCCTTTATAAAGCATCAGGCTACCTCAGATTGTGATTCTATTAAGTTGCTAAATAAAATATAAGTTGATGGAATTTATTCTTTGAAAAATACAAATYTCTATAGTGACAACTATATAATATTTTTAAGTCAGTTCAAAGAGCATCAAGAACACTGATGGTTCAATTTAAAAAGAACAAAACTTATTAACAATGTGGGGGAAAAAAACCCTGATGTTCAATTATAACACATCAATTTGGAAATAACAGACAAAAGGAGCAAACATGAACTCAAGATTAACCACACATGCATTCCAGATGGCAGTTTTTGTACATTGAATTGGTTGTTCTTTCATCAACTCTTCTTCAAGCCACTTTCATTTATTTATTGATCTGCATGATTATTTGTTCATTTATTTATTTGACAAGTTACTGGTTTCAAAGAGTCCCAAACAGGAGGAATGTACAGAGTTAAGGAAAATGCAAGGTAATAGTGATCAGTCCGAAGAAAGACAAAGTAACAGAATTCAGAGGGAAAAATCTTGATCCTCACTGACAGAGGACATGGGACAATTTCAAAAAGGAAATGTGGTTCAAGCTGAATAGTCACAGTGCCAGGGAAGTTGGCATTGTTATAGAAAATGGTGATCAGTGTGGTCTTACTAGAATTAAGAATTATTGCAAACTTAGGATGGAGAGTAATGAGGATCTTTATTACATGGCACAATAGTTGCTTTTGACCTTGACATGCACGAAAATCATTTGTAGTGTGAAAATGTAAAGCAGAGATTAACAACATTTTCAAATCGACTGCTGATAAACAGTAAGTTGGACAGGCAAGATGAAAAGTTACATATGGCTTACAACAAGGGCATTTATATATGTCAAGAAGASGCTGGTCTCATATTAAAAAAAGAAACTCTTAGAAAGGAAATAGCAATTTAAAATTAAGTCTATTTTTGTATTGTAGCAGAAGTGGCCCCACTCAAACATAAGAGGCAAGATATTTTGTATTACTCTTCATTCCCAAACAAGCCAGTGTGTGTAGTTGAATTCTGTACCTATCCACGTACTTCCTACAATGACCAGAGATCATAGGCATACATTTTATCCATGATGAAAAATTGTTTTACATCTTGATCACATGTATGATGATCTTTCTACATTTCCTTCTATTAGTTCTATGAATTCATTTATCCTACTAATGAATTAGGTGTTATATTTATTCTATTCCGTAAATGTAAATAAGCTGGAAAATGATTTTATTATGGGTAAAGTATAAATATATGATTGCTGTTTCAAAAACAGATACTGAGGGCAAATGAGGAAATATAGAGACCAGTTAGTAAAAACTCAGACAAGAGATACTTGTACCTTGGATGCAGATATTGAGGGTGGAGGTAGTGAGAGGTATTTTGATTCTGGGAAAGAAGAGCCAAGAAGTATTTATTTATTTATTTATTTTTCCTGAGCAACAATTATTTCCCTGAATCCCTTTAAAAAGAGGAAATGCTGATAGAAGAAAATTTGGGTGAGAAAATCAAGTTAATTTAGAACTAAATCATGTGATCACATGAACAAAATTAGGTAGGAAATCTAAAACTCAGGAGACAGGTTTATCCAGAGTTACAAATTTGGAATCATTATTTGGATGATAATAAATACAATGGAATTTGGTAAAATCATCTGTGTAGTGGGTATGAACTTTGTTTGCATATCTGAAACACCTTGGAAGTTTTCAATAATAGAAAGAATGTGATGCAGGCAAGCAGAATTGCAAACCTTTTTTAGATGATGTCTGAGAAACTATATTTTTAAAAATCATTGGGGTCATTCTAAAATATGCAGGATTTCCAGGAATTATTGATTTTAGGAGTGAGTGCTATAAAGAAGAAAGAGATCAGAAGACAGAGTTGCCATCATTGCAAAGTTTTAAATTGGAGCTAAAAATTTTATCTTCAGGGAGATGAGAAAAAACAGGCAAAGAACCTTGAGAAGAAACAAATGATAAAGTGAAATGAAAAAATAAAGAAGATATCATATTCATAAAGAGAAGTGAAGAAGATACTTTAAGAAAGAGGGAGTGATTAATTCCTGAAAGCAGTTATGCAATAGGAATTGAGAAAGAATCCTTAGAGAGCAACAAAGAGGATGTAAGCAAAATCGATCAACATGACTTTGCATAAAAGATGTTTCAGCAGAACAATAAAGACCAAAGCTGGAYAGAAGTAGAGTCAAAGGAAAAACAGTAATAGAGGAATTGTAGAGACTAATGGTGCATTAAATTAATGCTGCCATTAAATAAAAGATTGAAAAAGAGATGAATAAAATTAGATTGTAAATAGAACAATATATGGGAATAAGGAAGGCTTTTGTAGAAATAAATATGGAAAGGGAATACAATTGCAGGAAATACATCCATAAGGAGCTGAATGATCAGCAGGAATAGAGAATATAGGACTAGATTCAGCACAAGGCTTCTGGTAATAGAAAGAACTGCAGGCATGTAAACACAGGATAAAGCAGACTGGTGAATAGAATGGCAGGATCCTGTGGCCACTCTCTTCAGATGGTTTCTGCTTGTTATCAATGAGATAGAAAGCAATTATCTCAGCTAAACACAAATTGGGGAGACTATCATAAATTTGAGAACAGAGAAGGTGTCATGTAGATAGCTAGGACAGAGGATTGATGGATTATGAAATATGGTAAAAGCTATAGTGAGTTTCCATCTGAGATTCTTAATAAAAGTTTACGTGCAATCAGCAGGCTTGATTATATGTTATATGTTTTTATATATTATATGTTATATATTATATGTTTTATTATATATTATATGTTTTCCTGTAATTGCTTTCATCTGTGGAGTGCAAATTCAGAAGAGACCAAACACTGAGAGTAATAACCATGGTTCCCCCTCAACCCTTCAACCCACCCCCAGGAAAATGCAGTAGGGGAGAAGAGGGACCAAGTGAGTTGAGAATGTATACAAGGCAATGATTATAATAATGGACCATGAAACCTAAGCTGGGGAGGAAGAATAATAAAATATTTAAAAGAAGAGTGAGACACAAGGTAAATAATTATTAGGGTTTGAGGAATACAACCTGAAAAAGTGAGGGTGGTCACAATGAAGATATTGGAGGGAGCAAAGATACAGGCAATGGAGATGAACTAATGAAAACATAAAGCTATGCTGCCAAACAGGGTCCCGGAGGGTGCTTCTACTTACAGTACTGACATCTGTCCCCAGTGTACTCAGCCCGGCAGTGACAGAAAGGCTGGTTCCCAGCAGTAACAGTGCAGGTCCCTCCATTTTGGCAGAAATCTTCACAGACTGTCTTACCACAGTTTGGTCCAGTGAACCCCAGTGCACAGATGCAGGTGGGTCTCCCTTGTGGAAAAACAATGAATAATCAACAGCATATTAATAGACTAAAGTGGTTTATATTGATGGAGTTGTAACTGGATAAGAATGGGGAAGTCAATTTTCTGGTGGATGTCTGTCCACGATTTGTCCTGAGACTTTATACAGTAACACAACCTCTTTAGAGGAATTGTAGAGAATAATGCACCATTAATTTAGTTTATAGTTTCCCCATATGTCCAAGGAAGCTTATGTTAGATCATTTATGGATAATTATACTTGCACATACATTTTGAATCCTTAATTGCTTATATCATTCCTGTGATTCCCTTTCATGACTATTTTGCTTTTCAATTATTTTCAGTCTACCCATATGTGGTAATACAGATTATATTTCAATTAGAATATAAAATATAGATAATCATATTTCCTAGTTTTTAATCATTAGCTAACAACCAGTGCCTATTTTACATAAGGACTTATCCTATACTCACTATAAGTAAATATTTTTACAACTTTAAAGTAGGCATGTCATGCATAATAATTGGATTTACCAACATTAGTTATTTATTATTTATTTGATTTAAATATACATGCTCTGTTTAGTACATAAGAACTAAATATTATTTTCCATAATTTTTATATTTACTCACGAGGAGGGACTGCTATTTAAAGTCAGGGAATAAGAAGATAATTTAGAAGTTTAATGCAAATAGCACAAATAAAAAATTGATGAATCATATTTGAATATTTTTATTTGTTCTGTGAGAATTAACAGCAGAGTGAAAGTGAGCAATCCTTTAAAATGTTTGGAATACAAATGGTTAACTGTTCTATTAAGAATTTCTCTAACATCCAGCTGGTTAAAGACTGAGTAGAAAATAGAATGCAGAACTAGCTCTGTAGAAGAGACAGAAAACATTGGTAGGAATAAAGAATGACCATTAGAGTTTGCCAAAAAGTAAAGAAAAAACATAAAAGATAATGAAGAAATTCTGGGGTAGTTTCTATTTAAATAGAGCTCAGACAAAGCCACTCAGTTAACAAGCATTAGAGATTATACTAGTCATCTCCAATCTTGTCTTTGTAGACCTAGAAGCATAATTAAGGTGGTTAGAGAAATTCACAAATGTCAGGCTTGCCAAGACCTGAAGTAGGAAAAGTCATAATTTGTCTCTATTGCCTTGAATTCTCTATCTAAGGATAAGCCTAAATTTTGAGCAGTATTCTTAAGTGAATAAAATACTTGCAAGTAAAATTCACTTGCATTTCCTGGAGAATAMACTGAAACTCTACAATTTACCAATTAATTTCACTTTGAAAGGATTCTACATAATCAAAAATGCTAGAAATTGTTGCTCTAAGTGAACAAGGTAATATGTATTTTACAGTGAGTAGCATTGCTTTAAAATTTATGATTTATAAATGTTATTAGTCTGGCAGGAGATAAATGCCTATTAATAGCTTGAGAAAGAAGGCGAATTTTATGTAGGTTAAAAGCTGAGTAACTTCATTATTTCTGTTGCCAAAAGAACTTGCTTACTAAATTTTAGCTACATATTTTCCTTGTGGTGGTACAAGTTTTTCTAGTGTTTGTTGACATAGAAACAAAATATACTCTCTGGCACATTAGTGAGTGAAAAATAGACACAAACAAGAGAACAAAGGTGGCATTGGGTGAAGAGGTGGATATTTTTGGAACATGGTTACCTAGGAAAATAAGAATGCAGAACAAAATAATTAATTCCTCTTTTTCCATAAGAGCTCCTGAATGACCTACAGAGAAATAGAGCATGTAAACACTAATACAAATTAACCTGAGCTAAATTTGAAACAAACAGTGCACAAAATATAGTAGAAATACAACTGCATTAGAATGATCATGAAAAGTGGCACAGTGAGGTAGGATGTAAATACTGTAAATTCATGGTTTTCTATATTGATTACTAGTTTTTTGTTTTGGGTTTTTGTTTGTTTGTTTGTTTTTAAATCAGGAGTGGAAAAAAAAAAGAATAATGCAATAAAGGTTTGAAAAAGTAAACAAACCACTGATGTATTTTCAAATTCCTTCACCTGTCACTCAGGGAAATGACACTGTAGGTTTGGTACTTTCATCTAAGCTGTTTTGAAACTAGATAGTCTGACCAGGTTGTCCCTAGCTAGCATATGCCCCGTGTCATCCAGATTTCAGCCAAATTATTTTCAAAAGATCTTCATCTGTCTTCCTTTGAAGACAAATTTTTTTTTGATAAGTAAAAATCTTCACATTAAGGGGAATATTATCTAACTGAAATTGTACCTATACAGGAGATCTTTTGTTTGTTGATGAGAAATGAATCATCTGCTAAAGAATTGTATAATATGCTCCTTCTGACATTTTCAAGACTCTTTCTGGGTGTACCCTAACAAGTTGCACTGAAATAATTTCCAAATATTATTGTTATTATCGTATTTTTTTAGGTAGCAGAACTTGATTTTGATATTTGTAAAGGAAATAGCAATGGTAGGATGATTAAATCAAAGATTTATAGCAGTGATGTATCTGGCAAGTTGGGGAGTTGACAGTCTACAAGGAGAGCCTAATCAGAAAAAGTGTCAATTGACCTAAGGAAGGAGTAGGAGGAACTGTTTCCTGGCACTAAATCAGCCTTGTTTCCTGGCTCTAAATCTGTCTTGTTTCTATAGAATCCTAAGCATGGACATTGAGAGAGTTGCTTCTCTGACTGCCTAGATTCATGGTCTGTCAATGTGGAACCATGAGCAAATATCACCTCTCTGTCACTTTGTATATAAAATGGAGATAATAATAGTATCTACTGCATGGATTTGTTGTGTAGAATCACAAAGAATAAATAATATAATTCATGCAAATCATTTCTAACTGTATTATACATATAGAAAGTACTCAGTTACATTTTAGCTCAGATTATTATTTTTTCCTATTGAATGACATTCATCATTTTAACCATGACTTATCCTGGTAATTCAATCATACTTACAAAGGCACTGTAATATTTTATGTAAACCATTCTGAAATGTATATTATATTACACAATTTATTTCCATTAATTATTTAGAATAAAATAAAATTAGAATTTATTTTTATGCTGGCATTAGGATAGAGCCACAATTCTCCATTAACTTTACTGACTCCAATACTTTTAAACTTTGAATGATGTGCCTTTTTCTCTTTTTAGCTTCTAAATATGTTCAATTCCACTTTTAAAATAAAGAAAACACAACAACAACAACGAACAAATATAAAAAGAAGGCAAACATAATATTTGCTAAATACATGTTTTGTCAAACTGCAAAGTTTGATACATCTCTAAAATTCAAAAGATAATTACGTTCCCTACTTCCTATTCTAACAACACATGACAAAGTGAAATACGCATTCCAATCTCTCACTGGGTTTGGAGTATTTATTTTTTAATTTACAAGATAATGTGTCTTGTCTTGATATACTGCTTCCTCTTGTGTTCTCAGAAGAGAGGCCAGATCTCTTGATATGAATATATGGTTATGAAAACTGATTCTGATTCTCCAGTGTTAAGAAAGGTTTAAGAAATGAGGTGTTGGCTGGGCATGGTGGCCCACACTTGAAATCCCAGTGGCTAAGGAGGCTGAGGCAGGAGATTCTTGAGTTTAAAGCCAGCATCAGCAATTGAGGAGACCCTAAGCAACTTGAGAGGGCCTGTCTCATAAATAAAATATAAAAAAACGAGCTTGGGATGAGGCTCAGTTGTTAGGTGCCTCTGGTACCCACCCCAAGCTGCAACAAAAGAGTAATGTGGTTTTGCATTTACTGAATATTTATGTTATACTTAAAATTTACCTCTCTCTCTCCACAAATATTCTGATTTTTTTCAAAATCACTGTACTCTTTGACTTCCCCATTAATTGTATAATACATACTAACTAGAAGTTCTTTCTCTATTTGGCTTCTAGAACACTAACACTGATACTGCTATCTTTTTCTAACACTGCTTATATTATGATTGTTTTAATGTTTTCTCTTTTCATCTCTCATAAACATTCTTCCATATGTATTTCTGGTGATATTAACCAATTATATGGCTTCAACAATTATCTATCTGAATGCTATCATTTTAATTCCTGTTTGTATCATCCAGTGTGAATATCTTTGATAGCTCTGTAGGTACATAACTCTTCCCATGCTCCAAAAGAGAACATTCTTCTTCTCATTAACCCTCATTCTCAGTGACATATATATATATATATATATTTTTTTTTCCCCTCTAGTACTATATTTAGTCCATATTCAAAAGTCACACTGGATGTTTCTTTGCAAAATATCTTGCTAAGACATATATATGCTCCCATGATTAATTTCATGTATAAACTTGACTGGGCTGAGGGATTCCCAAAAAGTGATAAAACATATTTCTGGTTGTGCTTATGGGGATATTTCAGAAAATATCAGCATTGAAATCAGTAGACTGAGTAAAGATGATCCACATTCAACAGGGTTTGTTGGTTATCCTTTAATTTGCTGAAGGCCTACATAGAAAAATAAAGTGGAGGTAGGCAAATTTAAGCTCCGTCATCTATTTCTTCCCTTGGACTTTGGAGCTCTTGGTTTGGGGGCTATTTATTTCCCAGACTTTCAACAGAATTCTTTCTTCCCCTCACTCCTTGCTTAGGCCATTAGCATCGAAACAGAAGTRTAGCATTGGCTCCTCTAGTTCTCAGGCCATTAGACTATGACTGAATTACACCACGAATTTCCTGATTCTTCAATTTTCAGAGGCTCATATGATTCATCTATACACATATATGCCAATTCTCATAATAAATCTCATCTATCTATGAACTACTAGTTCTTTCTCTCTAGATGATCTTTTCATACATATGCACATCACATGAGAAATTTAATTTCACTTATTTATACTTCTTCTGTTCATAGAAAAATAAAAATTAGATGCATATGTTTTAAAGTGTTCCAGTAAACAAAATAGTACAAATTGAATTAGTATTAAACTGTAGCAATATAACAGGATAAA